CGCCCATTTTCGTAATAGGCTTCGATAACTTTAACACATTGTTTGATTGTTAATCTATCCATGGTTGAAATTGCCAAAGATTTAAGTTGTTAAATCTACAAGAAAAAATCATTAGACGCTTAAACTTAATTCGCATTTAAAATCAGTCGAAGTTATTGGACACCTTTTATATAATATATATATATATATATATATATATATATATATATATGTGTGTGTGTGTGTGTATGTATGTATATATATATATATGTGTGTGTATGGGTGTGGGAATATTGCAGAATACGGTTCGATCAAATAAATGTCGTTTGGACATTTGATCCGTCCGCTCACTCGATTGAAATAAGTCGGTAGTCTAACACGGAAATAGGATTGGCATTACTGTCACCTCGGCGCTCCTTCATTCGGACGGCCCCGGCATCAGTCATTGCCCCTGATACTACCCCACCCATCACTTTTCTTCAGGCAGTGAAAAAATTGCTCCCTGGGGAGTTGAATTTCGAAAGCTGAACATATAACAAAAACACGCATAAAAATGCTGTTTTATCATTTACTAGCAGTAGAGCCCGGCGTTGCCCGGGGATATAACAGTAAGAGATAGATCAAGTATCCACTATCATAAAGACTGAAAAATAAAATTGACAAAGATTATTGTTTAAGGTTGACGGACACGCATGTATTAATTAGTTTTTTTTTTGTTTTTTTTTTACGAATTGGTCAAACCCAAACTCAAACAAAAACATTGTTTTCAATCGTTATGAGTCTACCGATTGAATAGAATAATTTTATAAACAATTGTCTTGTAAATGGAATTTTTAAAGCATTCTGAATGTAAAAATAAAGAAAAAAGTGTGCAAGACAATAAGAAACACTACCTGCCAAAAAAAAAAGTGAAGTTTTGTTGAAATCGGTTGAAAAATGTAGGTAGCCTTTCTGTAATCTTTTAGTTTTACAATTTATGATTTTACTTATTGAATACAGTAAAAAAATTGCATATTTTGCTTGTGGTGATTCATAATTAGAATTTGATTTTTAATTTATTTTCCACTCGTTGTTTCTAATACAAAAATATTAACTTTATTTGGGTTTATTAATTATGATCTAACACATCTTATTCATTTAGTAGCCTTTCTGTAATAATAATCTTTTACAATTTATGATTTTTACTTATTGAATACAGTAAAAAAATTGGCACCATGTGTATTTAAAGTAGTTTCCCGTTCCGGTTATTATTTTTAGTTAGGACTTGTGTATGTTTAGATTTCATTATCTTTCCCTAAAGATAAAGAATTTATTCCGATGTTTGTATTCGTACAATCAGTAGAGATCGTTAGATTATTGTTTAAGGTTGACGGACACGCATGTATTAATTAGTTTTTTTTTTTCTATTTTTTAAGAATTGGTCAAACTCAAACTCAAACAAAAACATTGTTTTCAATCGTTATGAGTCTCTCAATTGAATAGAATTTTATTATAAATAATTGTCTTGTAAATGGAATTTTGAAAGCATTCTGAATGTTAAAAATAAAGAAAAAAGTGTGCAAGAGAATAAGAAACACTACCTGCCAAAAAAAAAAAAAAAGTGAAGTTTTGTTTTATCGGCTGAAAAATATAGGAAATCCGCTCCCATATTTAAAGGAACCCACACACACAAACAACCCGATGTGAGTTGTCCCCCTTCCATTTTAACGATGTCTCTTAATCGTGTTTTCAAATTGATTTTGTACAAAAACAATTATATTTTTCCCATTTTTGGCGCTGTTAGAACCACCACAAGGTAATTTTATGTAGTCCAGTGAAGTTTTGTTGAAATCGGTTGAAAAATGTAGGAAATCCGATCCAATATATGAACGTTACAGACACACACACACACACACACACACACACACACACACACACACACACACACACACACAATCTGCGTTTTATAATAAGTAAGATATAGCTTAGCAAGTGTTTATACCTTGGCCAACTTAGGAAATATTGCCTAATACGGTTAACTAATTTGCATCCCACCTCTGCCAATCATATTTTGTTTTCGGAGGCATGATGTAGTAATGGATAACGGCTCAGATTGAGGAATCGGGGAGCCGAGTTCGAATTCCAGTGGAATCAATTACATTCACTTACGTGCTAATACCCTTGGGAAAGGTATGAATCCTTCTCCCCCAGCTATAGTTTAATAGTAGGACAGACCGGGTTCTATAGCGTTGGATGGCAACTGGTCTCCCGCAGAAAGAAATGGCAACCTACTGCGGAAAAAATCTGCCTCGTCAGTCGTGTCTTGAAAGATACATGATCGCCTAACGTGTATCACGCATGGCCCTTAATAAACTGAATTTGCATATACTGATTTAAGAATACAATTTTTGAAAAATAAAATTTTGGCTTTAATCTATATTTTAGTGTTTTATATAAATCCGCAGTTCTTTTGGTAATGTTCTTTATGCTTGAAATACTTAGTCATTCAAATAACGTCATTTTCAATCCATAAAGAGGATCCTGAACATTTTGAGGATAAAGGGAAGTAAGCATTATATATATATATATATATATATATAACTTGGTAATTAATAGGGAGAATTCCAAGGAGGATATAAATCCAAAGAGAGCTCAATGCAAGAACAGAGCACATATAATAATATAATATAAAAATATAATCATTATATATATATATATATATATATATATATATATATATATATATATATATATTATATATTATATATATATATATATATATATTATATATATTATATATCATTTCACCCCAAGTAAGGCGATAATGACACTAAGACACAAGGGGGTACTAGGGTGGAAGAGAATGAGCAGGCTTTAATGAGGAGGAAAGGACAATAAAAGAACAGGTTTCAGGAAGACAGAAAATGGCACGAAGTAAGCTATGTTGCCATTTTTCATAGTATATTTTGAAAATCTTACAAACCTAAATTTTCATTTCTGATATGTTTATTTCAAAAAGTTTTGTTCATGAAAATAAATTACTGATTGGGTTTTGTTTAATAATGGATTCACTCCTTTATCTTTTATTGATTTAAAGAAAAGCGAACATTTTATTTTTTAAAAACGAATAAGACGCATTGTCATGCATAACAAAATCTTGAACGGAGAAATTCAATGTTTTCTCTAAAATAAGAAACATTGTATTTTCTTCTATATGTCGTGTCCCCTCAGCACATAGGCTATCATGGCTCCCCACAATTTCCTGTCCTTTGTAACTCTGATCAAATTTTGTCTTTTTGTTATCTCTCCTAAAATTTTCTCCGGCATCTATTTAGTCAACTGGTTAGGTAGATTAAGCGCTGTTTTTCTCTGTCTCTCTTGCCTTCAATCTGTCCTTTTGAGTATCAGATTTTCTCAGCCCACTTTCTTCATTGCATGTCCTAAAAATTTTAACTGCCTCTTTCTAATGTTAAATATGAGTTTCCTTTTTGTTTTCATTTTCGCTAGAACTTCGTCGTTGCTCAGATATTCAGTCCATGGTATTCTCATCATCCTTCTGTAGAACCTCATACATATAAACTGCTTTATAATTAAGATAGTTACTTCATTAGCTGATGTTCCGACCAAAGTAAAAGCAGTGCTTGATCAGTGAGATAGCTTCGAGAGGAGAAGGTAGAATCACTCGCATCTTCGCAAGTAGAATTATTTTGTTTGTTTAGCGGCATATCAACTACTTATGGGTCATTTAATGCTGAAATTTAATTTTCTCGAAATTATTAGTAATTTAATTTACAAAAAAATTATTACTGACATTTTTTTTCAAAAATGTATTGCTGGTAATATTTTTTTTACTATGAAAATGTATGGCTGGTATTTTTACTATAAAAATGTATTTTGGCCCCATTTTTGCTGTTAACAATTTGCCTATAGTTGGGACTCTAACGGGTGCTGCCACTTCGGGTCAGGGTGGACCTGGGAACAACAGCAATTAAGGGGTGGTTCCATGCTCCTGAATACCTCCCGATCGGAGGCCATGCTGTCGGATGCAGTTTATTGTTATAACCAATAAGAAGAAGATCGAGCGTTTATAGAAAGACACGAAACCACATACCTATTGATTCGGTCGACGTTTATTTAATGGAGAATTATGAACACTTTAGCCTCGTATTCCTTTCGGATGTTGCTGATATAAAATTGCATTTCATATGTCCATTCGTGCAAGCAGCAATTGTGTCCACACGCTATTCGATAAACAAAGATAAAATTCATATACGCACATTTTCAGAAAAAATTGTTTAACTGTCATATAAAAAAAAACCGATATCAATTTGCTTCGAGCGACACTTTTCTGTTGGCAGCTGTCAAGCCATCGAAAGTGATGGCTTTTGTTGCTTACAACCGTCAGCAGTAACTGTCATATGAGTCACCGGACCTCAGCCCAAAATTAATGAAGCATTTTGACAGACAATTTCATACCCAACTGGATATGTGGGCAGCGTGACGTTTATGGTTGTGGAAAGTGGAATCGGTCAGCTGAGTTCATATTCCGGTCTAGTCGATCGCGTTTTCCCCACTTTGAATATCCTTGTAACATAGTCATATTCTAGGCTTAGCTAATCTTAATACCCGTCTCAAAACAGTATACTACCTTTTTGTCTCAATCGATGCACGAATTTTTAAATGACATGTCTCCTCAATATATTGGAAATGATGTCTTTTTCCTTTATTATCTGTGAATTGCTGTGCATTCTTGAAAAGGATAGTGTAGTGTTTTATCATTGCTTTCACCACGGTTTTTCATTTTTGTAGACTGGTTACCATCCAAGGCTTTAGAATATAGTCTACCCTGATATTTGCCTGTGGTTAAATCCAGTTGAAAACATCGGTTCCCGTTCGATCACAAAATTTAGACAGCATCGAAACTGGTCAGTACTTAGATGGCAGACCGTTTACCAATAACAGGTACTGAACATAGATGGAGAACCGCTTGGCAAGACCAGGTACTGGACATAGATGGAGGACCGCTTGGCAAGACCGGATACTGGACATAGATGGAGGCCCTCTTCGCAACACCGGCTACTGGACATAGATGGAGGACCACTTGTCAACAGCGGGTACTGGACATAGATGGAGGCTCTCTTCGCAACACCAGCTACTGGACCTAGATGGAGGACCTCTTGGCAACACCGGCTACTGGACATAGATGGAGAACCGCTTCGCAACACCGGCTACTGGACATAAATGGAAGGCCTCTGGGCAACACTGGCTACTGGACATAGATGGAGGACCTCTTGTCAACACCGGCTACTGGACATAGATGGAGAACCTCTTGGCAACACCGGCTACTGGACATAGATGGATGACCTCTTGTCAACACTGGCTACTGGACATAGATGTAGGACCTCTTGTCAACACCGGCTACTGGACATAGATGGAGAACCGCTTCGCAACACCGGCTACTGGACATAAATGGAAGGCCTCTGGAAAACACCGGCTACTGGACATAGATGGATGACCTCTTGTCAACACTGGCTACTGGACATAGATGTAGGACCTCTTGTCAACACCGGCTACTGGACATAGATGGAGAACCGCTTCGCAACACCGGCTACTGGACATAAATGGAAGGCCTCTGGACAACACTGGCTACTGGACATAGATGGAGGACCTCTTGTCAACACCGGCTACTGGACATAGATGGAGAACCGCTTCGCAACACCGGCTACTGGACATAGATGGAGAACCGCTTCGCAACACCGGCTACTGGACATAAATGGAAGGCCTCTGGGCAACACTGGCTACTGGATATAGATGGAGGACCATTTGTTAACACCGGTTACTGTAAACAACCTCCTACACTTCGAAATATGTATCGGCTTTAAATAACCCATACAGAGTTGATAAGCCATAAAAATCAAATCAATATACTGCTTTTTAAGCGAAAGCTTCGAGCAGGTAGAAAAAAAAATGGATTCATACTTTTCCATGTATATTTGTGCGAAATTGAACGCAACAGTTTAGTCTGGAATTTGAACTCTGCTCGCCGGTTTCTTTTATCAAATCGATAATCGTTAATGCACTCGCACATCCCCCGATTTACTGTATAAACTCGTGTATCGTGCTAGTTTTTTGACGATCAGTTCTTTACGGAAAAGATATGGCGTCTCATTATACACGGGTAATTTTTTGAAGAGGTTAAAAATGATCCATTTTCGCTGACTGGTTGCGCACTATATACAGGTAATTCTTTTTTTGGGGTGGTTAAAATTTATTCAAAAAATTCAAGGTACATGATGTCGGATTCTACATGAATATATAAGAAATTAAACTTATTGGGGTCTCTTGGTATAGCTATTTTTTAAAAGTTTCGTTCGTCTAGCACAGTGATATGTGTAGAGGTCACTAGTGTAGTTCGAATTCCCCATAGCATTAATGGTCTGCAAGAGTAGCGGTTAGCTTCTATTGATTTACGGTGAACAAAAGTTGTAGTTGTTTATTTTGACGTAGAGCTGCAGCATGAAAAAACGTAATTGGCGAACCTCATTCGGCTTTCGGTTGAGTAAATTTACACTCACTCTGTACTATGGCCATCAATAAAAAAATGAATTTGCTTCTCACTGAGCTCTCTAGTTTTGACTGGTAACCAATCTAAGAGAAGGAAAAATCATGATCCCATTCCAGGCGTGGAGCACCTCGGGTGGATCAGCGGTATAAATCAATATCCTTTTTGGTATCCCCGGCAGATATAAACTACCACTGATTGTAATGACCCATCGCGCCAATTAAAGAAAAACAAAACAAAAAACAACACATTGGAAACTAAGAGTGTTGTATTGTTCCAGTGCGACCTTACAGCTATATCATACAACCACCGAAGTTAAGCGAGGATGAACCTGGTCAGTACTTAGATGGGTGACCGCTTGGGAATACCAGGTGTTGTAAGCTTGAATGTGTGAGTGGTGTAATGGATGACGGTTCGGAATGAGAAATCGAAATTAAGCAACATTGGGCCTGGTCAGTACTTAGATGGGTGACCGCTTGGGAATACCAGCTGTTGTTAAGTCGAATGTGCGAGTGATGTAATGGATAACGGTTCGAAATTGAAAATCGAAGTTAAGCAACGTTGAACCTGGTCACTACTTAAATGGATGACCGCTTGGGAATACCAGGTGTTGTTAAGTCGAATGTGCGAGTGGTGAAATTGATAACGGTTCGGAATGTGAAATCGAAGTTAAGCAACATTGGGCCTGATCAGTACTTAGATGGGTGATCGCTTGGGAATACGAGGTGTTGTAAGCTCGAATGTGCGAGTGATGTAATGGATAACGGTTTGGAAAAGAAATCGGTGAGCCAAGTTCTAATACCAATCGGGTTCTTTGTATTCACTCACACGCTTTTACCCTTGAATCCATCTCTTCTCCTCCAAGCTATGGGTTAATTAGTAAGACTTGTATCAGTATATTATTATCTCTCGCAAAAAAATCAAAATATGTTACAATGCAGTGCAACGACATTCCCGCATAAATGCAAAAAAACATTCACATATAGGCTGCTGGATAAAATCTATTCAGCACATTCATTGTCATCAGTCGAAAGTTTGTCAGCCTAGATAGCGAGAGAGATAGAGAAGGGGAGAGAGTGGTAGTCGGAGAGAGAGAGGGGGGAAGAAGAGAGAAAGAGAGAGAGGGGGGAAGAAGAGAAAGTGAGATAAACTTGGTCAGGGACATAGTAAAACTCAATCTCTCTACGGCTGTGATAGTAATGTTCTGAGAAAATTGCTCGTTATCCATTGCTTCTTAGAGAATGTCCAATCTTTCAATGTATACATAGTACATATTTATCTACCTACCTGTATATATCTGCGTGCCTGCTCAGTCATTTTTGTCGGCTTCTGAAAAACCCACACACGATTCTGTTAATTTCTCTGTTTTTGGTATATATATATATATATATATATATATATATATATATATATATATTCAGATAGAGAGACAGGCAGAATAAAAGACAGAATGAACAAGAGATTAGTTACAGGATCATCTTCATCCGGCCTGTATGTTGTAATGGCGGGAGTCTTGACATTGGCCTCACATAATTGGACGCTCCACAATAGAACGCGCCATTATTAAAGTCCGTAAGTGACCTAGATGTTTGACGGGAAAAAGAAGAGGGGGAAATTTAAAAGATAAAAATAGGTCATTTTTACTAACAGCTTTGTCGGCTGAATGAAACAAAACAAAACCAACTATAAGCGAAGCGACAGAAAACTTCGTATGTCGACTCCACCATATTGCCAATTTCAGAACGAGGCTTATTAGTTTACCCGGCGTTTATTTTATTACAGATATTTCCAGCTGATCTCCACACAACTTTTCTTTTTTTTACATTTCTTTCTTTGTATTTTAATAATATGAGTTCTGAGACAGAGACAAGAGAACTGTCCCTAACCCAAGTGCAATAAAATTGAGATAAATAGATATTAAAAAAACGGAAATATTCAGATGGAAGCAGAAACACACGCACATACATACATACATACATACATATATATATATATATATATATATATATATATATATATATGAAGTAGTTTTTTTTTTTCCTGAAACACCTTGGGTCTGAAGAGATGAATATTTAAATAAATATATTCATGAAATAAATTATAACTAAAATGTATTTTTAAGGATTGTCTTTACTTATAATTATATTGATCTATTACTTACACTGAAATCTCTTTGGATTAATGTCCTCCTTGGAATTATCCTAACAACTGACAAATTGGTATATATATATATATATATATATATATATATATATATATATATATGACTCCATTAATAAAAGTATTATTGGTTTGAAGATCCTTCTAGGGACGGGACGCATTACACAAGTTTTTTTTTTTCAATTTTGTCATTCAGTTACCTGCTGTTAGTCTGCTAGATAGATTTGCGTATCATATCTTCCATACTATCTATCTCAGTCTAGTCATGTATTTCAGACTTTCTATATCTGTATGACTCTATTTACACAGGTACATACACACACACGCATGCATATATATATATATATATATATATATATATATATATATATATATATATATATCCTTAGGATTGAGTTTAAGCATGAAACAGACTGTATATATAATAGAAATTATTGAAATATTCTCGGCAAAGCCAAAGGTGCTTCTCCGCAAAAAATCTTTGTCGGACTTTTGGGAATAGGTCGTACCGAAAAGCTTTTAGCACACTGTTGTCGATATATATATATATATATCAAATGTATGGCAGTAGAAAAGGTTTACTTGTGACGCGTTTCGTCTTTTAGGACTTCATCGGTCTAACATAACAAATTTAGTCCGATGATTTCCTAAAGGACGAAACGCACTACAAGAAAACTTTCTTCCACTTTGTCATGCATTTTTCTCATCTTTTTCCCTCTCTCTCTCTCCCCTTCTCTCTCTCATATATATATATATATATATATATATATATATATGAGTTAAAGAGCAAATTCAGATCAAATATGTGTCGAAATCTGACAGCATAAGATAAGGAACAAAGAGAAAACGTTTATCAATATATCCTGTTTCATTTCTATTAAAGCTTCGTCAGAGAATGCGAGAAAACAGACAAAAAACTTATAAAATTTAAATCAAATTATAATTTTTTTTGTCTTTTTTCTCTCAATCTCTGACGAAGCCTTAATAAAAGTGAAACATGTTAGATTTATAAACGTTTCCTATTTGTTCTTTATCTTATCATATGTGTATGTGTGTTTAAAATTTCAGATATAACTTAAATATATATATGCAAATGGACAATATGAACACAGACAAAAGGAAATCTTATCTTTGCCGACGCATTTCGTCCTTTGATCGCCATTTGCCCTCAGAATACGTTCGCTTAGCTTTCCTTTTGCGTATATATATATATATATATATATATATATATATATATATATATATATATATATACTTTATTATAGTGGATACTTCTTATTTGAAATAGACGCCCCATTTTTATTTTCAAGTAGATTTCTCAAATGGGCAGGACTATAGACAAATTACACTCTGTATAATAAATAAATAGAAATGAAACATCTATTTCAAATAAGAAGTATCCATGATAACGTTTGAAATATATATATTGTTTGTATAGACTTTCGCTTAAGTTTATATTTAGTTGTTTTAGCAAATTTGACTCGTTGACTAATTTTAGTGCGATTGTCTTTCATCTTTACTGGGTATCTCACTACTATGATTTTGTGTCAGACTAAATTAATTTTAGTAAGCCTCCACTGTAATTGTAACTTTGCCAAATAATATCTTAGCCCTTCGTTCTTTTGCTTAAAAAAATTGTGGAACGTTTGTCCGCTTGAGGTATATACGGCCGGCTTCCGGTCTTCAACGTCACATCCGCTTTAGTATTTCCGTATAAACTGACATCAGTAGATTTAAAAGGGGGAAGAAAGGAATAAAAGAGAGAAAGAAGTAAATTGCGTAAGTAGAAAATGGGTGCCGTGTCATTTGTTGGTACGTGTGTGACGGAGGAGGTCGTATGGGTTCTCTGTACGCACGAAAAGTACTTTGTCGTTTGAGTAGCAGTCGGGATGTGAACGGAATTCAGATTCTGACGACAGGGTACAAGTTTAGTGCATGTTAAAATAGTATGTCGGGTATATTTCGCTCTCGATTGTGCTTTGGCGAAGTTGTACATTTTGAACTGGGTTAATTTTCTTGGTGAATATGTTTTTTTACGAAAGTGATTTTTTAAGCAATAGTTCGTCATCGACATTCACAGCTATCAATCTTGCTTGCTTTCTAACTCTCTTTACCCCCTGCCTCTCTCTCTCTCTCTCTCTCTCTATATATATATATATATATATATATATATATATATATATATATATATATATGCCTCTTCTTCTCTGTTCATATCTGTCTATGTATCTATCTTTGAGATATTTCAGACATATCTATCTCACTTTGTTCAGACATATCTAAATATCTCGTTTTGTTCAGATCTATCTATCTCACTTTGTTCATATCTATCTATCTAATTCAGTTTATTTCTATCTCTCATACTTTGTTCATATCTATCTTTTTTCTATTTATCTTTGTTCAGGTATATCTATCTCACTTTGTTCATATCTATCTATCTATCTATCTATCTATCTATCTATCTATCTATCTATCTATCTATCTATCTAATTCAGTTTATTTCTGTCACACTTTGTTCATATCTATATTTTTTCTATTTATCTTTGTTATCTATCTATCTATCTATCTATCTATCTATCTATCTATGTTCATTATCTATCTATCTATCTATCTATGTTCATTATCTATCTATCTGTCTATGTTCATTATCTATCTATCTATCTATCTATCTATCTATCTATCTATCTATGTTCATTATCTATCTATCTGTCTATCTATCTATCTATCTATCTATCTATCTATCTATCTATCTATCTATCTATCTACGTTAAAATCTGTCCTTTTTTCTTCTTTAAGGGCAGATATACGAAACGCCCTAATGGTTAGTCCAAAATATATTATGCGATTACAAGCTGAAACCTTTTAGCACAGACACACACTTATTGAAACAGAAAGTTAGCAGTAATTGTGTGTGTGTGTGTGTGTGTGTGTGTGTGTGTGTGTGTGTGTGTGTGTGTGTGTGTGTGTGTGTGTGTGTGTGTGTGTGTGTGTGTGTGTGTGTGTGTGTGTTGAATAGAGAGAGAGGGCAAGTGAGTTTTTATCAAAGTATAAAAGTATCTATCATTTGCGGGATATTTATTACAGTGAGCGCCTCTGTTTTGCGCGTCTGCATAACAGTTACCGTCGCGGAAAATGAACTCGTCGAGCCGAGTTCAATTCCCGACCGAGTCTGTTGCGTTCACTTTCGCACTGATTCCCCCTCCTTAGCTTGAGACTAAACAACATATTAGGCTAGTCACTCTTGACCTTGGATGCCAGCCAGATAGTTAGATCTAAATTCAAGACCATAGAGAAGGAATCGGGGAATCACTCCACTAATCTTTCAAAAAAAAAAAGACATGCCAATTAACAGATAATAAAGAAAAGGAAGATGTGGACGTTAATGATCGACTGTATGCCGAAGAGACATTGTATTTATATAAAAAAAAAACAATTATTGTCTTAGAAAAAAAATGAATGGAAATGAATGCAAGATGGGACAACCGATCGCAGTTGTGTTTTTGTATCATAGTTTCAACACTTGGACTTCCTTACTGAGTTCAAATATTTATTGTTGGTGATAAAGTCGATCCAGTGCACTTTAACAATTGTACGGAAGAAATACTGATGAAAGTGTGAGAAGAAATGATGTTGTCTTGATCAGCTTTAGGAATCTGTCCGTTATGATATAATGGGGATCAATATGACTTTATAGACTGTCTATATTTCTGAGATGAGGTATTATGTACATTATTTACATTATTCGCACTATTGTCCTCATCTTTGTGACGATATTTATTACAACGTTTCGGCCCTTTAGTATCTGTCTATATTTCTGAGA